AATCTCCTTATCTCTCCCGCAGTACACTGTAGTCTCTAACCATTGATTCCCAATATTTCCTTATCTCTCCCGCAGCACATTGTAGTCTCTAACCATTGATTCCCAATATTTCCTTATCTCTCCCGCAGTACACTGTAGTATCTAACCATGGATTACCACAATCTCCTTATCTCTCCCGCAGTACACTGTAGTATCTAACCATGGATTACCACAATCTCCTTATCTCTCCCACATCACACTGTAGTCTCTAACCATTGATTCCCAATATTTCCTTATCTCTCCCGCAGTACACTGTAGTATCTAACCATGGATTACCACAATCTCCTTATCTCTCCCGCAGTACACTGTAGTATCTAACCATGGATTACCACAATCTCCTTATCTCTCCCACAGCACATTGTAGTCTCTAACTTTTAATTACCACAATCTCCTTATCTCTCCCGCAGCACACTCTAGTCTCTAACATTGATTCCCAAAATTTCCTTATCTCTCCCGTAGCACATTGTAGTCTCTAACCATGGATTACCACAATCTCCTTATCTCTCCCGCAGTACACTGTAGTCTCTAACCATGGATTACCACAATCTCCTTATCTCTCCCGCAGTACACTGTAGTATCTAACCATGGATTACCACAATCTCCTTATCTCTCCCGCAGTACACTGTAGTATCTAACCATGGATTACCACAATCTCCTTATCTCTCCCGTAGCACACTGTAGTATCTAACCATGGATTCCCACAATCTCCTTATCTCTCCCACAGCACACTGTAGTCTCTAACCATGGATTACCACAATCTCCTTATCTCTCCCACAGCACACTGTAGTCTCTAACCATGGATTACCACAATCTCCTTATCTCTCCCACATCACACTGTAGTCTCTAACCATTGATTCCCAATATTTCCTTATCTCTCCCGCAGTACACTGTAGTATCTAACCATGGATTACCACAATCTCCTTATCTCTCCCACAGCACACTGTAGTCTCTAACCATGGATTACCACAATCTCCTTATCTCTCCCACATCACACTGTAGTCTCTAACCATTGATTCCCAATATTTCCTTATCTCTCCCGCAGTACACTGTAGTATCTAACCATGGATTACCACAATCTCCTTATCTCTCCCACAGCACATTGTAGTCTCTAACTTTTAATTACCACAATCTCCTTATCTCTCCCACAGCACATTGTAGTCTCTAACTTTTAATTACCACAATCTCCTTATCTCTCCCGCAGTACACTGTAGTCTCTAACCATGGATTACCACAATCTCCTTATCTCTCCCGTAGCACATTGTAGTCTCTAACCATGGATTACCACAATCTCCTTATCTCTCCCACAGCACATTGTAGTCTCTAACTTTTAATTACCACAATCTCCTTATCTCTCCCGCAGCACACTCTAGTCTCTAACATTGATTCCCAAAATTTCCTTATCTCTCCCGTAGCACATTGTAGTCTCTAACCATGGATTACCACAATCTCCTTATCTCTCCCGTAGCACATTGTAGTCTCTAACCATGGATTACCACAATCTCCTTATCTCTCCCGCAGCACATTGTAGTCTCTAACTTTTAATTCTCCCTATCTCCTTATCTCTCCCGCAGCACATTGTAGTCTCTAACTTTTAATTCTCCCAATCTCCTTATCTCTCCCGCAGCACATTGTAGTCTCTAACTTTTAATTCTCCCAATCTCCTTATCTCTCCCGCAGCACATTGTAGTCTCTAACTTTTAATTACCACAATCTCCTTATCTCTCCCGCAGCACATTGTAGTCTCTAACTTTTAATTCTCCCAATCTCCTTATCTCTCCCGCAGCACATTGTAGTCTCTAACTTTTAATTACCACAATCTCCTTATCTCTCCCGCAGCACATTGTAGTCTCTAACTTTTAATTACCACAATCTCCTTATCTCTCCCGCAGCACATTGTAGTCTCTAACTTTTAATTCTCCCAATCTCCTTATCTCTCCCGCAGCACATTGTAGTCTCTAACTTTTAATTACCACAATCTCCTTATCTCTCCCGCAGCACATTGTAGTCTCTAACTTTTAATTCTCCCAATCTCCTTATCTCTCCCGCAGCACATTGTAGTCTCTAACCATGTATTCCTACAATTTCCTTATCTCTCCTTCAGCAGATAGTAGTATCTAACCTTTGCTTCTTGCAATCTACGGATTTCTCTCTCCCAGTATGACGAAGGATTACAGTAAGCCCTAAACAATCTTTTCTTTCTAACATCTGATTTCGGTCAAAGGGTTGTGCGTCTAGCCAGTTCATAGGAGTACGTCTTCCTGGCTGAGACCACGTCGATAACCCTCTATCGTCATCCTCAGGGAGCGGTAATATCTAGAAACAGTAAACTATGTCTAGGTGTCCGTATCCTGTTACTATATCCTTGCTTTACCATCACGTGACCTTAACTTCTAAAACAGGATATAAAACAAATAAACCAGTTTAATGGAAATTTATACATATTGGCGAGTTCAAATTTTATGATGTCCTGTATTTTGCACGTTTGCACAATTAGGCATTGTAATTTACCCGATTTTTAATACAAAAAACAATGTTTATATAAACTTAAATTTGCAATTCCATTTTCCATCACGTCTAGAATAAGATTACTGTAATGTTTACGTTATAGGTAATTTCCAGAACGGACGTGAAAAGTTGTGTTTTCCCCGGGTACTCCGGTTTCCTATCACAGTAAAAGCTCCGCTCGCTTCCATCCGTGCGAACAAGAGTGATTGATATAAGCTGATAGCTTGTTTCGCATTTGTTATAAAATTTTATATTTATTTATTAGGTCATTGCAACTTACAAGTGGGGATTTTCCCTGATCAAATTTCATCTCGTTTCTTCCATAAAAAGTTCCGTAATAAATCCTTCCGTATTGTGTGTCATCATATTGATAGAATAAACATGTCAAATGACACAGATTGTGAGTTAGAGTATTTTGCAAGGAAATATGGAAATCAATGACACATAATGTGGAATTATTCATGAAACGGATGGAGTTCAAATGGGTTTTCCTTTAATGAGTAAATGCTATGTATGTGGTACTGTATCAAGGAAGATCACATAGGGACATGCATCTAGTACTTTCTAATAGGCAAGTACATATTTGTATTACAAAAGTGATCTTAAACGTGCAGAACGTTTTTTAAACAGTGTTAATATCAAAATAAGTTATATTCCCGATTAGAGTTGCCACCCATGTATGAATAAAATATATACATAAAGTACATAACCATGATAATATCGTGAACAAGAATTCCCAAAAGATCACACGCATGAACGCACACGTGCTCACGTAATCGATTGTATCTATAAGCTTATTAATAAGTTAAACTATTATAGATATAACTGAGTATTTGGTTGAAAACATTTTCGTCATGATGACGTTAGTCAATACACAAATATTGCTCTAAAACAACATCCATAAACTGCAATTCATGTAGTCATATTTTAGTGCAACACCTTCAATGCGAATAACACTGAAAATAAGAAAACTGTTAAATCCTGCACATTGACAGTAAGTTCTGTATATTTGGTTATTTTTTGCGGGCATAAAGGATAGACACATTCTGCAGTCTATCGATTTTCCTTGTCAACACTGTCGACTGTAAATCCCGTTCTAATTCATTGAATCTTCATCTTCATACAGTAATTTACTACCACTTCAGCATCTAGATCAGTGTCATACTAATTTTCTTTGTCATCCACGAAGTGTATTTCTAATTTGATTTAATTGAAACTGTAGTTCAGTACTTTAATAATTAAAACACGTCTGAAAATCACCCATCTAGCTTCAAGATCAAGGTCATTGCGAGAAATAATCCACTTAGCATTTGCCAGATAATGCGGTGCTCATTCAGTTAAAGTGAAGCTTAAGGCAGGGTTTCCTGCGTTAAATCCCAGAATGTTTCGCACACATTCTAAGATAAAGACAATTGTAGCTAAAAAAGGTTTTTTTCCCCATTTTTCTAGACGACTTTCATTTTCATCCAATTTAATTAAGTTAATGTCGAATCTCATTGCAAGTGAGCGTAAAAGCATTAAGGTGAAAGTCAAAGATACTGAATAAATTGTTTATTGACCTTGAAAATGGAATCCTGAAACCAAATTTTATATTTGTTTCTTTTCTTTACTATGTCCGTCTTTGTGTTGTCAACATTACACCACTTACAGTGAAAATAATTTATTTCAACATCATAAAAAGCCTTACAGGTCCGGAGTATATCCGCAAATGAAGGCAAAATAAGATACCCCCAAAAAGAATTGTTTCTAAAGTAATGTGTGTTTTAGTGGAGTTGTAGTTATGAATATGAGTAATAATTTTGTCGCACTGATAAAATGTGGGTAGCAAACTTGGCTCACGTCCTTGTTTTATGATCAGTAAATATTGTCTAAATGCAGGACAACTGCAACCCTGTTCATCGTATATATTCTAACCCAAGCAACCTAGTCCAAAAAACTCTTTTCATTAAAAGGTCCTACAACTCTGTAACATATATTTGAAAACTTCTTCAATCTTACATTCATACCCTACAAGTAAAAGTACGCCCGTTTGTTAGAACATGCGCATTTTATACAAAGATAAATGAAACTTGCTTAACAAATTTTCTAATTACATGCAAAATTTACTCTGTTTTATACATAAAAATTGCACGAAAAACAGTGACTAAAACCTTTTAATGATGCGAGCTTAGAGTAAGATACTGTAGAGCCAAACAATGAATTAAACAGCATGTTTCGTCCTTCTACGACTTGTCGGTGAGCCTAAGGGTCTAAATTTGTGAACCCTGTAAGGGGGAAAATCCAAAGTGATCGAAAAGAAAAGTAAAAACCTAGACGGGGAGTTGCAGCATCCCCATCATTAGATAAATTTCGTGATTTTCATAATGTTTAAACAGTGTCAATTACATGTGCAAAAAAACATACTTGGTGAGAGATACAGCCACATTACATATCTTACATATAATAAAAATACAAACCTGACTACCACTCTTCTTCCTGCTTGCGCTTGTTTTCTTTGGAGCAGAATTGACATTTTTGAATGCAAATACTGTTTTTAAGTATTCGACTATGATAAGATCAAAGTTGCAAAGAAACCCTCTTTCACAAAAGCACGTGTGCTTCTCACTAAAAATCTCAACCGCACTGCAAATACCTGTGCCACAATCTAAGGTATACGTTTGAATTTTGAATAACTCCTTTCCACATCTAATGGTATAATTACACTGAACAAATTTGTTCCACAGCCTACCGTTCAGCTATGCATGAACACTTATGTTCCAAGTCTTGTATAAGGCTTTTTATCGAAACTTCGTTAGAACACTTCCTGTCTTATGTCTGTTATAATATGAACTCTTCAACTCCCCAGTCTATAGCCTGTGTTTTATTGTTGCTCTGGTTCCCTTGAATCTGCAGCGATGTTGGTTTTTCTGCTCCAGTTACCTTTCTCTCATACTCTGAGACAAGCTCTTATTGAAGCGTACCAGAATATATAGGACTTAGTACGGGGCACTGGTGTCAAGCTCCAACACGCTGTAAGTGCATGGTCCTCAACGCCTGTCATTGGTCGATATAAATTCCTATCCCTCTAATGACACGTGTTTTGGTTATTTTTAATAGGCTTTTAAATATGAATGGAGTATTCTCATTATTCATATCAGTTTCTAATCTTTTTCACAGATCATGGTTTTTGTGACTTGTAATGGTACCGAATCTTTTTTTAATAGATGAGATATAAATTTATTTAGTTAACATCTTTTACATTTCTTTTACATATCTCTGTTCATTATTAAATGCTGCAGGTTATTTACTCACAACATGAAGATATTTGAAGCTGTCGCAATATGATCATTTCAATTCAAATGAAGGTGTAAATTCTATTTTATAAATAAAGAAAAAGTGCAAATTAATTAACAGATTAGAATAGGAACACTAATGAGCTTGGTCATAACGGAATATGTTGGTCAGCAAGACATGATATATAAGCAGGCAATTAGTATGACTTTCAGGTCCTTAGAATAAAGAGACAATGCGACTCTTCTTTGATTGAAGGATGATGCTCATAAGGAACTGACTATAACAATCTTTATTCTTGTTTGGTTTTCTTTTCAGACCTTTTATATATTTATAACAAAAATGTAATATTTTAACTGTACTTTGAAGATGGCTTAATATAAGATTTATAATCTTGTTGCCAGATCCATTTTCAATTTTATAATTTGTGTATGGGTATGTTGTAAATGAAAATCTGAAAATAAAATATTGTTTAAACCAATTGTACTCATTTATCGAAAAGCACGTTTTATTATATATATAAGTATATATATATAAGTTTATTTTTATTTGTCGACTGGTAAGAAATTTGTATCTATATGGAAGATATTCATCGATCTCATTTGCACTCAAAAATAATTATGTCTCCAAGTATATCTCCATCACAATCAATAATATTTGTAATATATCTAATTGTTTCCACGGATCACACTACCTTCCATCTCTTGTCTATCACATTACCACTGCAACAATATGTATTGCACTGTGATGTCAGTAGTAACGTATGATAAAGTTTACATTCATGAAAACACGAGACAGGGAATTAAACAGTGGATATTTTAGAGCAAACATTATTGGTATCGATAGATAATATTTCCCAGGAGCACATGCTATGTACACAGAAACCATTATAACCAATAACATTTCCCCACGAGGCTGAAACACACACCATTTTCAGAGGTTGTCACGGTCCACTTGAAACAGGACAGAAAAGGATTATTGGTGTATATTTTACGGATGACTGAACTGGTTATTAAATTGATTATTTGAGGCATTACATCAGTTATTCGGCTGTTAACACCTGAATTGATTCCTCTCGAGCATGACCAGTTTATTCATTCAATTACTCGTTAAATCTAACCATGCTTTCCTATAACGCTTCGTATACTTGCAATTTGCATTTTGTTATACCGGGTTCTATGCATATGTAACAAGTAGTTTTGATTTATGTATCTTTAAATGTTTATTCATTTATTCATTTTCAGATGCATATCAAGGAACGATAATGACCATGTGACATTGACTACAACATGCGGTCGAGATACAGGCCTCGAAAGGGTTCAATATCAACTGTTAACATCGATGCTTGGCTTGTACGTTCTACGGATTAACGATATGGCTTCTGTGGTACTAACTACAGACAGAGCTCCAGGCAGAAGGTCAATAAAACATCGATACCACGTTCAAAAGGATGTTTCTTTTGTTGAAACAAGTATGTATAACGGCCATATAACCTCAGTTCTATCATGTCCACTCACGGTGTATTGATTGTGATTGTGATATTGAAAGTGGAGTACTTGAATTTTTCCAAAGAGTTTCTTAACCTCCCCCCCACTCCGCACCCCTCCTCTTCTTTAATTTGGGGGAAAAACAATAAGAAAATACCAACATGTCAACATAATAATAATCCAAACTCATATCTAATAAAGCTATGGTAAAATATGGCTAAAAGAAAACTAAACACACTGAAAAATTACAGGAAAGAAAAGACCAGGTGTTCCTAAAGTAAAAGCTTCTTCTGCTTCATCGACGACATCTGTTATGCAAATATTGGTTAAGACAAGCAAGGAATGTCACGTTCTCAAATGAGAATTTAAGAACGAAACCAACCGGCAAGCTAACGAGCATTAAACACGTCCATCTTTGTACCGAAAATAAAATAGAATAAAAGATAATAAGTAAATTGATATGTTTAAAGAGATCAAATATTAAATACACAAAAAATCCGAATCTCTGAGAGATGAAGTTGCAGACAAAACATAAATCTAAACAACCTGTCTGATTTTCTTAAAATGTCTTTTGACAACTTTGAAACACGTGGTGCGAATTGACAACATCAAGACTATTCCATTATTTGTTTGTTTGGTTTATCACTCCGTGAACAACAAGTTGTTTCGACAGATCTCGTTACGTCACTTAACACACGGGACACTCATCACGCGCGACCGGATAAGTTAGAGTAAATTGTCTTGCCGAAGGTCAAAAACCACGACCTTAGAGACACTAGTATCTCAGCTCCGCGAGAAGCATTAACCAACACTGGAAAAGACCGTCAAACAACTCCACTTCCTTATTAGTAATGTTATAGGCTCATAGAGGATATCATACAGAGTAAACAGTCATTGGATTTAGATCAAGACTCGAATTACTACCAATCCCCAGTTGATTAAAATATGGTCAATGTTTTTTTTTTTTTTTTTTTTATCATTTTATGATTTTAAAACCAATCATTTTGGTGACAGGTCGGGTTGATATTTTCAGTGTCAATTTTTCTGATACAATGAATGATTTGAACGCATGCTGCCCAAGAAATTGTAGTAAAAAACCCACAAATTTAACCGATAAACATTTGAGAACATTCGAATATCTACGTAGCTGATTTCCTGTTAAAGCTTGTCTACCTTCGCTACTTGCCGTACATGAAAAATGCATCGTCTCTTATACGGAATGTGCCAAATGATCCTGATTAAGAACGAAACTTGAGATAGGTGTATTGTCTTATCTCTTAAGTACAATGCAACTACGTTATTTAGATGTGTGTACAATACTTGTTTTATTCTAATTCAAAATTTATACTTATCGTCGTTATCATCTGTAATAAGTAATTAAACATCTTATTGATGCTTGATTCGTGTTGATTTTGCAGTTTTTCTACGAATTTGAATAAATCAAATGTTTCACTCACAAGGGGGTGAACGATTGTTTCTTAATATGCGCAAGGAGAAGACGCTTATTATTCCTGGACACTTAGCCTTATCCTCAGATTTTTTTCAGAAGGTTTATTTTTTTTGTTTTTGCTTTTCAATTTTGTTTGTTTTTGTTTGTTTGTTTTTTATGTTGTTGTTGTTGTTTTACTCAAGTGTTAATGAATTTGAGCTTGGATTATAAATGTCACGTGTTGGTATTTTGTTGGTGCTTATGTATCTGTAGTCATTTCACTTTTAAAGTAAAGTTAAAAGTACACCTATTGAACAACGAATAGTATATTTGTCAGCTAGATGTTTTACATAAATGACAATGAATGACACTAAAGCTGTGTTTTTTAGATTTATTCAAAGTAAAGTTGTCTTACAAGAGGTAATGGGCATATACAAAATCGCTGCAGTTTATTTCTCAAATATTGCACTGTGAGTACATTCAAAGTTATTTTCCTTTACCTGACAGAGATTTTCAAACTCTCGGCAATTTTACGATTTCACTTTCTTCCCACCATGACCTCCGTCCATTTCGCTCTTTTCGTCACTGAAGAGTACTTACCTAGCTGTAGTTAAAAACACTCTTACCCAAACACACACACATATAAATATTTCATACATATTTTATTTTTATTATAGTGATAAACAGATATACATTTCCTGATATTCTACAATGTACACTTAATACCAGCACGTGTACAAAAATCTTTAGGGATTAAAGTAAACACAAACAGACGTTATTGCTCTAAGGGTAATCCAGGACTTTCGTTGGCGTTATCACTTAACACAACAACGCTACAACAAATCCACTAAAGTAGACAGAGTCAACTAAAAAATCAATAAATCAATTAAAGTATAATCATATTTTACTTAGTACCTGTGTGCCTGAAGTTTCGATTATGTCTCTAACAAAAGCGACTGCTGGGAAAACCTTGGTCGCCTTGATTATAACTACCATTGTGATGTATGGCTTCAGCGTCATCTGGACGCCGTTTGTTCATTCGTTTGAAGTTCTGTTTAGATAGGCAGATCCCAAAGTCAAGCATAATTATGCATGAGAATCACGACCAGGCAAACTTTATTTTTACGTAACAATGCTGATGTAAACGCGCCTAATGTTAACACATTGATATTTTTTTTATATTAGTAATTCAGTGACAAAGGCAAACATCCGAACATGACCGAGCAAAAATGCACTAATTAAATCGCATAAGCAACAAAAAATCTAACATTCTGAGAGAGTTTAAAAAATGTAACTTTATCTTAACGATTGTCTTGTTCTAGTGAT